ACACACACACACACACACACACACACACACACACACACACACACACGAGCAATATCTACCAGGTGCAGATATTTTAAAGTATGCCTACACACAGCCTCACCCAACCAACCCTTCCTTGTGCCCTGCAGGTCCTAGCAGCCCTTGCATTGTGGAATCCCCACCAGACAGAGAGCTCCTTTCAAGGCAAGCCTCCTCCTCTGACCCTAGGCCCTCACCCCCACACTCTGAAGATTCCCAAGGCAGCAAGCACTCACGCTTTCCGGGGTTTTCAGCCTCTAGCTGCTCTCAGACCCGCCTTCCTCACAGCTCTCTTGCTTTCCTCCCAGCCATCACCGGGACGTCACGCGTGACGCTGAGCAGCACGGAAGGGCGGGGGCTCCCTAGGCTCGTTCGCCCAACCCGCCCCCCGCTTGGCAGAATTCCGGGCCGTGGATGTCACATGGAGGGACTCCCCCAGGCCAGGCCGTTGAGACCAGACCCGACCCAGTCGTGGGAAGCAGTTCTGGCTGCCTTCCCAACGAGAGAGAGGAGGGGGGGGGGAGCCGCCCCACTCGCCTCCTTCACTTGCAGTCCCTTGGCTTGCCTCGGGAGGCACCCGACCCAGCAGCACCCGATCTAGGTGCACTGGGCGCGGGCGAGCGGCGTGGAGGGCGGGCCTCTGGCGGTGCGCCGCCCGGAGGGACTCGGGTTACTGCTTGTTTACTTGATGGCTGCCTTGGCAATGGGCCTCTGCCTGCTTGGCCCCCTGGTCTGCTATTTCAGGACCTATGGGCTCCTCTTGCAGATCCTCACCATCGCATCCCTTCCCAGCTACATACCTGTGGTGCCTGCGCTCCTGCGTCCCCACCCCTCTTTGCCACCCAACCCCCAGCTCCGTTGTGCTAGCAGTTTCCTTACGCCCCCAACACCGAAGCTCCAGTCCCTGGGATGTGCACGGTCAAAGTCTCCCGTGATCTCTTCCTGCATCCAAGCTTGAGCATCAGAAAGATTCCTCTCCTTCTAGTGTGCTGGGATCAGCTGCTCTGTCTTGCTGACTTTCCAGAACAGGGTGCCTAGAGAAACACTTTTTCGACTGAGGATGTGAAGGCATTACATACATACATACATACATACACACACACACACACACACACACACACACACACACACCTCACCCATTAGCACCCAGAGCACGGCCGCTGCACACCCAGGCTCCAGCTTTCGTTCCTGCTCATCTCAGGTCCACATTCGGCTCTTTTGCTTGTGACATTCTCCCACAGGCAGACCTCAGGAGCGACTACGAAAGGAGTGGCAATTTCACGAGCCCAGGAAGGTAGGGTAGCCTGGAGAAGACGGGATTCTAGTCGCCAGTGCGGGGCTCCAGAGCTGCCCTAGGTTCCAACGACTGGTGGGGTTCAGAATTGCGGCGGGGCAGAGCCCAGAGGTACCAGGCAGGTGACTAGCTACAATCCGGACCCGCTACCACAGGTGCCAGAAAAGAATGACTGGCGGTCTCAGCAGCCAATGGGATCCCAGGACCGTGGGGGCGAGCCTTATTCCCGCAGCCGCACCGAGCGTGGGCGGGGTCCTTAGCTGGTTCAGTATCTCGCGCTCGCCGGCGGGCAAAGCGGGCGGCTGCGCAAGCGACCAGGTGAGGGGGCCGAGTCCTAGAGGTAGCGGGGCAGGAGGGCCCACAGGGAGAGTCCGTTTTGGGGGTCACAGAGATGCTCCAGAGGACGTGGCCCTTGGTTTTCCACTAGCGATTGTGGGGCTCTCTCTAGCAGATCGTGCAGTCAGGGAATAGGGTCTTTCAGCAGCTTTAGATCCGCAGCCGCAGCCTGGAGCCTGGCGGTCCCTTGGGGGTGGCGGTGGGGGCAAGCTGGGCTGCAGCTGTCCCAGGTCCTGAAGTCCAGCTCTAGAGGCTAACCCCTACCCATATACACACACACAGGAAAGATGCTGCAGTAAACTGTCCTGACACCCATTTTTTCTCGCTCTTTTTAAAGTTGCTGTAATCCCGTCTCCACTCTCTGGACAACAGTGAAGGGTGAAAGGGTGCTCCCCAATGGCCTTATAGGAAAAGCTCCCTAAATCCAAGATGGTTCTGAACTGGGCAGATTTCCTCTGGCCCCAGGATGGGAGAGGTGAGGGTCCCAAGAAATGAGAAGGCAGGATGCTCAAGGCACAGGCAAGTGTGGAGCGCTGGGCAATAGAACAGCACCCCCAAACCCTGTTCTTCCTACACAGATTTGGAACCCACACTTCGAAGACGCATTGAGACTGAGGGCTTCCATCTGCCTCACTGAGACTCCAGCCCGACAGAGAACATGGAGCCTGGAACGCCAACAGCCAACCTCTGGAGGACAAGCAGACTCCGTCCGGACCTGTAGGGCACTGCCCCAGCCTCGCCACCATGGCACGTGGTTTCACAGTGGGCTTTGACCCATTGGGTCTAGGAGAGCTCAGCTCTGGTTCTCTGAGCTCCCTCTCCTCCCGAGGCCACCTGGGCAGCGACCCAGGCTCCACAGCAATGCGATACTTGCTGAGGAAGCAGCAGCAGCGCCTGCTGAATGGGCCCCCCCGCGGAATCCGAGCCTCATCTCCCATGGGCCGAGTCATCCTCATCAACTCCCCCATTGAAGGTGGGTGTGGGGCCCAAGAGTGGCTTAGGTGGGGATTACTGAGGACATCCGGCAGCGCCAACTCGGATGAAGGTTGGTTAGACGAGTACAGTTAGGGGAATTCAAGAGATGCAGTCTTAGGGAAGGGGATCATCTTTCATCTACCCTTGCCTCTCCTCCAGCCAAGGCTTCAGATCAGAGGTGGGAGATGAAAACACTGTGTAAGGAAAAGACATATGTTAGCACCGGGAATTCACAAGGCAGGGTGCTGAGTCAGGCTCTGCATCCCTTGAACTCCGACTTTCTCCTGACTCATGTGTATGTACCTTAGGGAGTGGAGCAGGATGGAGGAGATCTTCTACCAACCAATCAGTTGTGTGACCAGCTCGGTGCTGGACTATGGAGAGTCGGTGTCCAGGCTTCAGGGCATGGGGGGGGGGGCCTGAAGACACAGCAGCGTATGTTCAGAAAAAGGGAGGGGGGGCCAACAGGGAGTTGTCAGGGAGTGTGGCCCAGAGCTGGGTCCTTAGGAGAGAATGGCTGTGCATGGCTGCCTGGTCCTGTGCCATCGCACACCAATTCTGTGTCCACCCTGCTTAGCTCTTGCAGGGGGCCTAGAGAGATGAAGCCCAGGCTTCAGCTTTCAGGACTGTGCAGCGTAGTCCAACGCAGAGATGCAGCGACAAGAACAGATGGTGGGGTTGCAGCTACCCCCCCAAAAGTCAGAGATGAAAAGCATGAAGCATGATGGGACAAGTGCTTGGACTACAGTGACAGATGTGAGGCGGCAAGAGCTTGTGAGCAAGACAGAGCCTTGAGAGCCAGGAGGGGAGCGAGCCCTGTGGGCCCGGGCTCTCTGTGGACAGGGCCAGATAAATATCTCCAACTCTTCTCCTCTTTCTTAGCCGGCACAGCCCCCCTGGCTGCATCCCAGAGTGAACTTTCAGGCCTGGTGTTTCCTCTGATCCAACTAGGAGCCTCTGTCCCCTTCCAAAGTCAGCTGGGCAGGGGTGGGGTGAGCTGCCCAGGATATGGCTGGCACGCTCATTGAGCACGGTAGGCCCCGCCCTCAGACAAGCAGCAAGGCACTGCTGAGGTCACTCTTGCCACTCTGACCAAGAAGCAGAAATCACCGGAGGACAAGAAGGCAGGAGACATGACCTTTCCTTTCTTTCTTTCTTTCTTTCTTTCTTTCTTTCTTTCTTTCTTTCTTTATTTATTTATTTATTTGGTTTTCTGAGAGGGTTTCTCTGTGTAGCTCAGTGTCCTTACTCACTGAGCCATCTCATCAGCGACACCCCCTACCCCCCACCCCCACCCCCGCCAAATCTGTCTTCTTGCAAGCTCTCCCAGGCAATTCTGGCCTGCCCTGAAGTTTTAGGAACATTCTTATGTCTACTGGTCACCATGATTTTTCCTTCAGAGTTTTTCTAGCCTGTGTCTTATTGTTTATCTGTGCATTATTTACTGTCTTTCAGGAGTCTGCAAGCTTAATCATGGGACTTTGCGGTTCTTTCCCACCCATACATCCCTAGTACGTTGCACAGTGCATAGCATCTGATAAGCATTTCTGGATAAACAGATGAGCTAATGAATGAAAAAATGAATGAGCAAACTAGGAGAGAAGAAAGGGCTGGTTAGAAAGGGTCATGCCTTTAATCCCAGCACTGGGGAGGCAGAGCCAGGCGGATCTCTGTGAGTTTGAGGCCAGCTGGTCTCCAAAGTGAGTTCCAAGCCTGATGACCTGAGTTTAATCCCCAGGACCACATTGTACTAAAGAACTGACTCTTGAAAGTAGTCCTCTGATTTCCACACATGTGCCATGACACACACATGTGTGGGTGCATACACACACAGTAAATAAATAAATGTAATTTTTAAAAAGATTGATTTAAGAACGGGGCTGGAGAGATGGCTCAGCAGTTTGGAGTACCGGCTGCTCTTCCAGAGGACCTGAGTTCAATCTCCAGCACCCAGATGGTAACTCACAACCATCTGTAATGGGATCAGTTCCCCTCTTCTGTCAGTATGCAGAAGGAGCACTCATATACATAAAATACATAATTAAATGTCTTTTCTTTTGTTTTGTTTGTTTGGGGAGGTTGGTTTTTTGAGGCAGAGTTTCCCTGGGTAGTTCTGACTGTCCTGGAACTCACTCTATAGACCAGGTTGGGCTTGAACTCAGAGATCTCTTGCCTCGGTCTCCTGAGCACTGGGATTAAAGGCATGCACCACCACCACCACCACCACCACCACCAGCCATAAATAAATATCTAAAAAAAAAAAAAAAAAAAAATTATAGGCAGGGCAATGGTAGTACACACCTTTAATCCCAGCACTCAAGAAGCAGAGGCAGGTGGATCTCTATGAGTTCCAGGTCAGCCTGATCTACAGAGCTAGTTCCAGGACAGCCAGGGCTACACAGAGAAGCCCTGTCCAAACCCCCTCCTCCCCCAAAAGGATAGATTTGGTCTGGACAGTGGTATAACACTTGCCAAGCATGTGCATGATCCCCAGCATCACAGTCAAAAAAAGATGGGGAGGGAGGGAAAGAGAAGGAAGGGGAAAGGGAAAGGGAGAGGGAGGGAGGGAGGGAGAGAGAGACAGAGACAGAGACAGAAAGAAAGATATGAAGGGATCCAAGTCCTCAGATTAGAGACATTCAGGACTTCTCCGTTGTTTCTTTTCTTCTCTTTTTTATCTTGTCTTATTTGTTGCATATGAGTGCTCTATCTGCATGTACGTCTTTTTGTGAGATCTCACTATAGATGATTGTGAGCCACCATGTGGGTGCTGGGAATTGAACTCAGGACCTCTGGATGAGCAGCCATCTTAACCGCCGAGCCATCTCTCCAGCCTCCTTGCTGTTGTTTCTTTTAAAGATAGATTCTCACCGTATAGTATTGGCTGGCATGTAGCGGGACCAGCCTCAAACCTGTGACAATCCTGCCTCAGCTTCAGCGTTTTGGGCTTACAGCCCTGGAAAGCTACACTGGCTTGCTTGCTTTGGAGACAGAGTTTCACTAGAGCTGACCTTGAATTCCCCATCCACAGGCTTCGGTCTTGTTGTAGGTGATGAGATGTTATGTCTGGGCTACCGTGCCTAGCTCTTAAATTGAAAACAAAACCCCAAACAAACAGAAATTAGAACTAGACCTGGTGGTGCCCTACTCACAGCTCCAGCACTTGCAGTGGTCTCAAGGTCAACGTGGCTGACATAGCGGAACTATGTCTCGAAACAACACGGCCTGGGAATGTAGCTCAGTGTGGCAGAGGACTCGCCTAATACACAAGGCCCCAAGCTCCTCACCCTCAGGGCTGTGAGTCAGCCAGGACGCCCTCAGCATTCTCATTTTAACAGTTTTCCAGTGATGCAGTGACTGCCACTCCGACACCATGCCCTGGTCCACCATGCCACTCCAAGAAAGTGATGTCTAAGATGGGAGGGGATGAGGATAAGGAGCTGAGCCCCGCCCAACCCACCCTCACCCCCGGCCCCACCCCCGCCCCAAGCCAAAGTGAGATTATTACAGGAGGAGACAGTTTCTAGCGCATATGAGGCACAAAAAACATGTCAGAATGGGAGCTGGAGAAATGGCTCAGAGGTTAAGGCTCAGAGGTTAAGAGCACTGGCAGCTCTTCCAGAAGTCCTGAGTTCAATTCCCAGCAACCACAAGGCAGCTTACAACCATCTATAGTGGGATCTGATGCCCTCTTCTGGTGTGCAGGCATACATGCAGATAGAACACTGTATACTTAATAAATCTCAAGACACCAGAATGGCTGGAAGCCCACCATAAAGGGAGGGCCACCAGGTGGCAGAGGAAGACAGAGGGGGCTGTACAGGGCCAGGGACAGCCTGGAGTTCTAAACCAGGCAGGAATAGCTGATATAGTACACTCAGTTCCTGTAGTAATGGAAAGCAGATGGCTAGGGAGCTGCAAGGAGGGTGAGTAGCCTGGTCAGGTCAGGTGAGGGAGAGGGGATTCCATCCTCGGAGAACCCACACTCCTGTTCTCAAAGCTCAGATGTGGCAGGGATTAGTGGTGCACACCTTTAGTCCCAGCACTTGGGAGGCAGAGGTAGACAGATCTCTGAGTTCGAGGCCAGCCTGGTCGACATAGTGAGTTCCAGGACAACCAGAGCTACACAGTGAGACTTGGTCTTGAAAACTAAAACAAACAAAGGCTCAGATGTGACATTCCAATGGCCCAGGGATGTCATAGGGTCCCCAAGGGGACATGGAGGACAAAGCAGATTGTGGACAGGGAGCTTAAGGCTTTTTAGATAAGGCTAAAGGGGCCCGAGAACTGTGTGATGACAACTAGTTAGGAAGCCCCAGGTTCCCTGTCTTTGTCCTGTACCACCCCGTCCAGACTGTCCTTGGAGATTTCAGCCCCATCTGTCCTGGCCACACACTGAAACCTGATAGACCAAACTGAAGTGTGTGTGTGTGTGTGTGTGTGTGTGTGTGTGTGTGTGTGTGTTCTTTCTCTCAAATAGCTCTGGGGTAAACGTTGCCTGAAGGAAAAGTGAATCTCCTGTTCACCTGGTAGCAGCCTGCCTGGCACTCCTGTCAATTTCACCCAGCGGTCATCCTGAAGGTCGTTGACCTCTGAGCTCCCACATGACCTCCTCTCCATTCGCTGCCCAAATCTCTCCGGTCTCATTTCTCTATGGAACCACGCCCTCTGCCCCTTCCCTGGGCCCTGCTCTGGGCTCTGGGGAGACACTGCAGCATGCTGAATTAGAGGGTCTGTCCTCAGGTAGCCATGGAGTCCCTAGAGCTCTCCCCCAGAATCGGAGTCTATAGCAGAGGCCCAGCAGTTCTTCCGTAAGGTCCCGGGCAGACTTACCAGCTTCAGTCTTCACGCCTCCAGATGGGAAGCCTCGCTATCGGCCCCAAAGAGGAAAATCTGTCCCTGTCTGACTCCTCTGTGCGAGCTTGGTTCTGCCCTTAGGTGACTCTGAGCATCTATCGACTTCTACCGCAAGCTCCACAGCTGTTTGAAGTTAGAGCTGATTCTGTTGCAAGCTGAGAGCCCAGACTCCCCACAATGGGACCTTGAACTTTCCATTATTCTCAGAACGGCAAATTTTCAGAGATTGGACGGAAGAATTCAGAAAACCTCTCTCTCTCTCTCTCTCTCTCTCTCTCTCTCTCTCTCTCTCTCTCTC